TTTCACATTCTGTCTCTCACAGTTGAAGTGTACCTCTGGTGCAAATTACTGACCTCTGTCATCATTTTAGGTGGGGGAACTTGCACAATCGGTGGCCGACTAAATACTTTTTTGCCCCACTGTACATAGCAGAGAGAACCAGAATCTCAAGACTGGCTTTGATTCAGATGTAGCAGTTACAATGTGCTGAGTCCTGCGTTGTGAAAGTGGCTGATCATGGAGCTCTTATGCTTGCCATGGTCAAATTTGTGACATTCATTCGGGCAACCAACAGAAATGCAGAATGACAGGAAGAAGGTGCATATAGTACAAATAAAGACCGTAAGTGGCCACACACAAAAAATGGTTAAACATAAATAGAAAATCCTCACTTTGAAAGCAAATAGTAATTATTATGTAAAACAATGCATCTTTTCAGTTGCAGTCACTCTAGACATCAGTGATACTTATACTTAGAATTAAGATAAACAAAACAAACAATGAAAAAACTAAGACAAAGTTTAAGGCTCTGTTTCCAAGTCAGACATGACATCTGTTCCTCTCAGGTAACAGCCAGCTCTACTGAGCATGCTTCAGAGACGGCCAGGTAACCTGAGCTAGACCCACTCATATACACGGTACGTGTTGCAGCACTACAGCAACCAGTAAATGATGGCTCTACAGCAGACAAGCACTACAGGTCATTCTGATGGATCATGTGAGTGGAGTGCACCATATCAGGAGCAGGGTTAAAACACTTGGTTAGGAACAGGTAAGGAACCTACTAATGTTTTTAATGGATTTCTATGATGACGATCTGACAATGATCTTTTTTAAAATTAATATTTAGATGTTCAGATTAAGAAACCAAGCTGTAGTAGATGACACTGGAATAAAGGTGTACAATTTGGTATTTGGTAAATACCAAATTGTAATTGGGTCACTAATAAGCTCTGTTAAAAGCATATTTTCCAAATGTTGTAACTGTCTAGTGAGTTGCCGTGACGATGGTGGGTCAAACTTATCCAAGGAGTCAGTCAACTAATAAGATGGGAAAAGTTTGAACTGGACTGAAACCTAATATCCCATGGTTAACATGTGCGTACCCTGACCATCACACTATCATAAGGCCTGGCGTGCTTCAGTGAAAGTCTCACTAATGTAGTTTCCAGGCAAGTTCGTAGTTTCTTCCCAGCACTTCATTAACCAGTGCAGTTCATCAGGAAATCTAGGCTATATTACCAGCTGGTAATGCCATTTTTGACTTAAACCAGCATGAGGTTGGCTTTACCTCAGGAGGTAGAGCAAGTTAGGTACTAATTGTGACTTCCTAATAATGTACTAACTAATCCAAAGGTCAGTGGTTTGATCCCTGATTGTTTCAGTCTGCATGGTCAAATATCCTGGATAAGATACTAAACCCCAAATTGTGTTTGTTGAAGTGTGACTGTTGGATAGAAAGATGGTAAACAGTGCTTGTATGAATGGGTGAATGAGACATAGACTAGAAAAGTGCCACATAAGAACGAATCCATTCAGTATTACCACTGAAGCTATGTTTGGCTGCTCCCTTTAATCATAAGGAGCCACCACAGCAGGTAGCTGTTTTGACTTGGCTGATTTTTGTTCCTCACACAAACCCAAAGAGATCTGTGTGCCTCCTCGGGATTGAACTGAGGGACCTTCAGACTGTTTTGTGAATGTATAAACCACTACGCTGTGACGTTGCTCAGTGATGTTTTACTAACAGCAGGCAGAAAATCTCTAAAGCAGATACAGTGGGGCAAAAAAGTATTTAGTCAGCCACCGATTGTGCAAGTTCCCCCACCTAAAATGATGACAGAGGTCAGTAATTTGCACCAGAGGTACACTTCAACTGTGAGAGACAGAATGTGAAAGAAAAATCCATGAATCCACATGGTAGGA